CTACATTTGTGGCAACAGAATGTTGTCGGGTTACAAAACTAAAAGCAACGTCAAGGACTCTTACAAAATTCTTGAACTTGAGGAAGGATGTTCCCTTGATGATGTCAGAAACTCGTACCGAACGCTTGCCAAAAAATACCATCCAGACAGCGGTTCTGCCACAGCTGATTCTGAAGCATTCGTGAAAGTAGAAGAGGCATACAGAGTGGTGCTCAGTGATGTGGCAACCAAAAAGAAATCAAACGAGAATAATGAAGAGGAGGAAGATCAGTTCAAATCAAAAGCACCACAGCATAGACACTACTTGAGTTTTGAAGGTGTCGGTTTTGGAACACCAAGCCAAAGAGAAAAGCAATACATGCAGTTTCGAGTAGACCGTGCTACCGAACAAGTATTGGAGTACCGGAAGCAGAGACTTGAGAGCCAGTATGCTGCGACTGACTTAATGAAAGCCAAAGACGTGAAGGAAAGCAAAAAGGTGAAGATAACTCAGGCAGTTGAACGGTTGGTTGAGGACCTCATCCAGGAATCAATGGCGAAGGGAGACTTTGATAACCTCAGTGGCAAAGGAAAACCTTTGCAGAAGTTTTCAGACTGTCCGCATATCGACCCTATGACTCACAACTTGAACAGGATTCTGATAGACAATGGGTACCAGCCAGAGTGGATTCTGCTGCAGAAAGAAATACGGGAAACCATTGAGCGGTTAAGGAAGAGTATAGTGGTGTCTAGAAGTAATCTCGGAGGGCCAATGACACCGTACAGGCAAAAGCAATGGAATCGTATTTGTGAGCAATTCGTAGAAGATATCAGGAAATTAAACAAAAGAATCGACAACTTCAATTTGGTTGTTCCTATTCTGAGCAGACAAATGGTGCACTTCAGTGCAGATAAAGAACTTGTTCGAGCACAAAAGACTTATGAAACTTTGATGGAAAACAAAGAGGCTTCTAATTCAGACACAAAGGAAAATGAAGAGGAAAATGTTAAACGGTTTGGGTGGAAGTCTTCTCTGTTTAAGTGGTTAAACCTTACTTTGAAATAAGATAATACTAATTCATCGGTTGTCAAGATTTTGAATGCACTTTATTACTGAAACTTGTAGCACTAGAGAAATTTCACATGCACTGAAAATGTAAAATCCAGCTGTCCACTGTTAAACCAGTTAAAAGGATTTGGGTTGTCTGATGTGCATTTGCAGGTCCTTAATTGGTCTGTTTGTGAATATCATTAAGGAACAAATAAATTCAGTTATTTTCTTGCAGCTCATTTTACTTCTGCTTAAATGAGAATCAACACTTCACCTTTGTAGCATAATCACTTTTACAGTCTGTTATCTCTTCATAAGGTAAAACTGAGGCATAACAAAAACATGCTAAGAACAAAGTGGAAGTAAAAGTCTTGTTGTGTCCTGTTAGTTCAACCTTTATTTTTCCTTATTTAAATGCTTACAGCGCATAAATTGTTGACAGGTTTCACACATTTTTTTAAAAAGTACATTCATCTCTTCAAGGTTAAATAAAGTGAGAATGAAGGGAGGGTTCTGAATGTCTGGACTTGGACTGTACATTCTGTAGAAGTCTACTTTTGGATCTGGCTTTTAACACAGAAGGAGGTCTCAGAAAGCATCAGAGCAAATACGGAAGACTTGCCAGAACAGTACCCTTGTCACAGGGCTTTTTGAAGGTGAGAGGAGAAGGGAGTATTAATTCTCAGAATTCATTGATTGCACCATGTAAATATTTTAGAATATTGGCATCAAAGAACTTACAGTGAAATATTACTTTAGTAGTAAAGTTTAAATGGGCAATGGCTTGGAGGATGGGAAAATCTCCATGATGCCAAAGATTTATTTATCTTTAGTAACCTCTCAGCTCCCTACACAATCTGTTTTTCCTGGAGGACTTTGCCTTTGAAAAGGTGTCACTGGATATATTGGTATCTGTGTGGGCCTCCTTCCTCACTTGTGCCCCTGTGACTCAGACTGTCGTCGTCTACCCCTGTGCAGGAGTTGTACTCTGCCCTGTCAGTCTGTGGGAAGGTGTCCCACAGGCTCTGGTATGCCATGGAGTGGGAATTTCCACTATCAGTTTCAGAAATGAAAGCTAGATGATGATCACGACCATCCTTTGGCAGGTGCTCCAGCACCAGCAGAGCCTGGGTTAACATGTTTGCTTTTGGGCAGATAACGCTGCATGTGCTTCTTTTGATCTTTGTGCTCTTGCTCATCTAGATGAGGTCCTAACATGCCGTTGGGATGCTTGCGCTGTGCCCTGCCCTGGCGTTAGCTGAAAGGATTAGGTCGTGGCTCTCAGTTCCTTTCTGCTGAGATTCAGTTAGGAGGCAGGCATATATCAGCAGTGCATGTATTGGTTGGGCCAGCCAGAAATTAACGTACCTTTCTGTTGCTCACCAGCCTGGGCTGCGGCACCAAGGACGCTGTTGCATCTTCCGCAGCCAGGAGGAAATGGCCTGCCTCTTGTAGGCAGGATCGGTACCTTGAGTTGATTAGTTAATTAGTTCATTATATTCAACTCAATCCAGCTGGCTAATAATGATTGGATGCCATAATTCCTCCTTTTTGTTTTACAGTTTTCTTTAAGGTGAGCAGAGACCTGGCCCATTCATCCAACTCCAGCACGCTTCCCTCCTGCGAATACCACGTCGGGGCTTGCGGCTTTACCTTCTTCTCCGAAGGGCTCCCGGCTCCAGCTCTTTCAGCTCTGGCAAGGGAGTCGGGGCTTCTCAGGGTCTCGCCAATGTATCACATCAGACTCACCAGTTGTAGCTCACCAGCCTGGGCTGCGGCACCAAGGACACTGTTGCATCTTCCACAGCCAGGAGGAAATGGCCTGCCTCTTGTAGGCAGGGTCTGTACCTTGAGTTGATTAGTTAATTAGTTCATTATCTTCAACTCAATCCAGCTGGCTAATAATGATTGGATGCCATAATTCCTCCTTTTTGTTTTACAATTTTGTTTTCAAAGGTTTTTTTCACAAAGGCTTTAAGGTAAGCAGAGACCCGGTCCATTCATCCAACTCCAGCACACTTCCCTCCCGCAAATACCACATCAGGGCTTGCAGCTTTACCTTCTTCACCGAAGGACTCTCGCTCGGGCTCGCAGCTCCAGCTCTTTCAGCTCAGGCTCTCGGCTCCAGCGAGGGAGTCAGGGCTTCTCAGGGTCTCGGATGTATCACATCAGGGTCACCAGTTGTTGCTCACCAGCCTGAGCTGTGGCACTAAGGACACTGTTGCATCTTCCACAGCCAGGAGGAAATGGCCTGCCTCTTGTAGGCAGGATCGATACCTTGAGTTAATTAGTTAACTCAGTCCAGCTGGCTAATAATGATCAGATGCCATACCTTTCAGTGGTTCTCCAAGTTTGTGAAGATGGTAAGAAATAATGAGTGTCTTGGAGATACAGGAGTTAAGTCCTGTATAGTGGTGAAGTGGGAACAAAATGTGTGTGTGGTCTTGATCTGCCATGTTAGTAGCCCCAATCTAAATGCTCAGAAAGAAAAACCAGGTTACATGGCAGTTGTCTGTTTCTGGGGACTGGATGAGAGCTCAAATTGCTGTCCTTTCCTCTGTGATACGGATGTGCATTGCGACAGTGGTGTTAGACCAGGTGATAGATACCAGGAGGCTTTGATATCATAAGCTCCTTACTCATTTGAGCAGCTGTGTGTATGAATGTCTGTTTATTTCAGTAACTTACCTGTGCGTTCTTGCTTTTAATGAAAAATGTAAATTAAACATACTTTTATGGAAGTCCTTTGACATAGTAGTCTTAAAAAGATCAGATTTTGCTTCTCATTATGATCTACAGGAGTTGGATCTGAATTGCTGTTTAAACTAATCCAGTGACATTTAAAAAGAGCTAATTGCAAATTGAATTCATTGCACAAGAGTAAATAGAAACCAGTTTGCAGTAAATCCAGCTTTGATGGAATCCACTTTGGCTCACAATGAAGAAAAGTATCAGCAGTTTAAATATTTAAATTGCTGTAATGGATGAGTCAGCATACTGAGCGATTTTTATGTTCCTTTTAAAACTACGTGGTTTTAAACGGAGTGGATGTGATCTGACTCTGAGCGCTTTAAATCAGCCTTACACTGTTGCCATGAAAAATTGCCAGGCACAAAAATCCTCCTCTTCAACATTTATGGCAGTGACGATGAAAAAAATAATTTAAATTTTTATTTTCCCCAGGTGTGTGGAGGAGTATATTTTTGCAGTGCTGGTCTGTTTTTTTGTTGCTCTGAGCTCACAAAATCTTAAAAGCGGTACGTAGTCAGTACTTCTAGAACACGTAATTCCAAGTACTGCATACAAATTAGAAAACCTCAGGAGAGAATGGCCTTCAGAAGTAATTTTTCTATTTGACACTAGACTGTTAATTTGGATTTGATAACTGTTATCTTATTACTGACCTCAGAAGGATGAAATCATTGCTGATTCCAGATACAAACACATGTTGCTTATTCCCAGAACTCCCTATGTGTTGGTCTAATTACCATATGGCTTGTGGCTTGAAAGGCTTGTCTGGATGACATCTTAATACAAAGACAAATTATTATTTATATTTATTATTAGGCTATATTAATCGAGGTACCAGTTTTTCTCAGGGTGAGGAATCTATTTCTTGCCCAACAATCTGATGGCTCTTTGAAGTGCTATTAGCCAGCTACACGATTGTACGTGTCAGTGCTTTCCAGTAAAAGACGTACAGCTGTAGGCTATCAGAAATGGCGTCTTAGGCTGCTCTGTAAACTGAAGAGTTTCTACATACGCTGTGAATGTTGAGGCCTGCTGAATATCTTTCTGTTCCAGAGTAACAATGGCTCTCAGGATGCACGTGGAGTTACAGGGAAGGCCCTGAGCGGAAGGAATAAAAGTCACGAGAAGCCAGAGCAGGACATGCTGTAAGAGAGAAAGACAAATGGTAAATCTTTATTTTTAGTGGGAGAAGCTGCCGCTATGGGGGAGAAGGGAATGTGTGGTGTCTCCTTTGAAGATGTTTTCCTACCGGTTGCATTTCCCTGGCTGTAGCAACCACACAGGTTACTGTCCCACAGCTGAGATCAGCTGTTACGAAAACAAACGTGTGTGTGCATGCATGCGTGGGGGGTAGGAGGGGTGATAGGAAGGGGGTGGAAAAGAGAGAGGAGATTAGGGGGAAAGCAAACAGCGTGTAATGCTTCCAGATGAGCATGAGAAGATGGTGGCACATATGTTACCAGGAATAGAGGTTGGAGAGTAAGCACATGCGAATTACAAAAAAAAAAAAAATTTGCTGTGATCCTTTTCAATGGATCAGCAAGGCAAGAGTTTTGTTACAAACTTTTTCTTTATGATACGGTGCTGAGCATCATGAGTAAGAAGCTACCGTTCCTGTTCGTCCTCTCTGCAGTGGGTAGCCTCTTCTCTGGGCTAGATACAGTGAGAAAGGAGGAACTGCTTCAGAAGAAGACCGTGGCTCAGCTCCAGACCTGCTAGAACTGGCTTGCTGTAGGATAGAAGGCACGATGTACAGAAACCATCTTCTGAGTCCTATAGATTTTATTAGGCTTTCACATGGAAATGGGGAGTGAGCTCTCCAAGGATGTTGTGGTCATAGGAAGAGCCGTGTGGAACACAGTTAGCACGTATAACTGAAGGAAAAAAGGAGGGGAGCTGAGAGTAGAGGGCTTTGAGTACAACTTTTGAATTTGAGTGGCATTTCATGGACCCACAGCCTAACTGTCTTTTAAGGAGAAACTGAATATTCTATTGCCATTCGGCTGGGTCTCTGTAGGCCTTTCTCACAGGGCTCCTTTTCTTACTTAGTGCCCCATATTGCTCTTCTTTGTTCTTGAGCAATCTCCTTGAAATGCCTTCCTCGTTGTTTATCCCGCTTCACTCTTAAATTTCTACTTCTCACTTTTCAGATTGATTCTGTACTTTTCTATCTTACCAGAGTGTGAATTTTCAAGACTAACCTCTTTCTTAACTTCAGTACTTAAATTAAGTACTTGCAGCGTTTTCCCTTAGTATCTCTAAAA